AATATTTAGGATTGTCACCCAATAGACTCAACTCATAGTGCCTGTTAGTACAATATTTAGGATTATCACCCAGTAGACTCAACTCATAGTACCTGTTAGTACAATATTTAGGATTGTCACCCAATAGACTCAACTCATAGTGCCTGTTAGTACAATATTTAGGATTATCACCCAGTAGACTCAACTCATAGTACCTGTTAGTACAATATTTAGGATTGACACCCAGTATACTTAACTCATAGTGCCTGTTAGTACAATATTTAGGATTGACACCCAGTATACTTAACTTCAATCCTAAATATTGTACTAACAGGCACTATGTATGTTCTTTACCAAAAGATATGTGAAGTATCTCTGGGTATGTTCTTTACCAACAGATATGTAAAGTATCTCTGGGTATGTTCTTTACCAATAGATATGTAAAGTATCTCTGGGTATGTTCTTTACCAAAAGATATGTAAAGTATCTCTGAGTATGTTCTTTACCAAAAGATATGTGAAGTATCTCTGGGTATGTTCTTTACCAACAGATATGTAAAGTATATCTGGGTATGTTCTTTACCAATAGATATGTGAAGTATCTCTGGGTATGTTCTTTATCAATAGATATGTAAAGTATCTCTGGGTATGTTCTTTACCAATAGATGACAGTGAAGTATGGATCTTGCAAACAACCTTGCTGCAAATACAGGTGAGGAATGTTAGTTACAAAAACATTATGATAAATACCAGTCTGAAGTGGTCTCAATGGATGTGTAGTTGGTTGAAATTGGCATCACAAACAGAGGATGCAATGTTGAAGACATGTATTCTTACATATGAATCCAAGTTCTCATTGTTTAGTATGTGAGTTAAGTTTACTGGATGACAATCCTAAATATTGTAATTACAGGCACTATGAGTTAAGTATACTGGGTGTCAATCCTAAATATTGTACTAACAGGCACTATGAGTTAAGTTTATTGGGTGTCAATACTAAATATTGTACTAACAGGCACTATGTGTTGAGTCTACTGGGTGACAATCCTAAATATTGTACTAACAGGTACTGTGAGTTGAATCTACTGGGTGTCAATCCTAAGGATTGTAATAACAGGTACTATGAGTTGAGTCTACTGGGTGTCAATCCTAAATATTGTACTAACAGGCACTATGTGTTGAGTCTACTGGGTGACAATCCTAAGGATTGTAATAACAGGTACTATGAGTTGTGTCTACTGGGTGTCAATCCTAAATATTGTACTAACAGGCACTATGTGTTGAGTCTACTGGGTGACAATCCTAAGGACTGTAATAACAGGTACTATGAGTTGAGTCTACTGGGTGTCAATCCTAAATATTGTACTAACAGGTACTATGAGTTGACTCTACTGGGTGTCAATCCTAAATATTGTACTCACAGGTACTATGTGTTGAGTCTACTGGGTGACAATCCTAAATATTGTACTAACAGGCACTATGAGTTGAGTTTATTGGGTGACAGTCCTAAATATTGTACTAACAGGCACTATGAGTTAAGTATACTGGGTGCCCAGAGATACTTTACATATCTGTTGGTAAAGAACATACCCAGAGATACTTTACATAT